TGAAGGGAGCCCAACTTCGACAGGCGCCACTGCTTTGGAACCGAAAGCTAAAGCAAATGGAATCTCTTGTGTTGCTGATCAGGTAGTTGTTTTGTAGGCCATAGCACTTTTGGGAGGTGTTCTACCCACTTGCCCTTCAGACTTTCCAACTTGGTCTTCAGGGCAGACTTTAAAGTCCTGATGGTGACTTCTGCTTGTCCATTGGACTGGGGATGAGCTGGGGCAGAGAAGTAATTCTTTATTCTGAGCTCGGCACAAAAGTTTTTGAACTTCGGGTTGTCGAACTGCTTCCCATTATCTGACACAATTGCTCTGAGGATCCCAAATCGACAGATTAAAATTTTGAACCTTTTGTTCTGTAATGGTTGCTAAGGGCTCCATCTCTGCCCACTTGGTAAAGTAATCCACCTCTATAATGGCAAACTTGAATTGTCCTACACCAGTGGAAAGAGATCCTAGTATATCTAGACCCAACTATTAGAATGACCAAGGGCTTATTACCGAGGTCAGGAACTTTGGTGGGCAGTGAGGGATGTTGGCATGCATCTGGCAAGCCTTGCATTTCTTGACCAGGTCTGTTGCGTCCTTGAGCAAAGTGGGCCAATAATACTCCTACCTTAGAGTCTTTCTTGCCAAAGCCCGTGCCCCAATATGATTGCCACAGACTCCCTAGTGGATTTCTCTGAGTATGTAGTTGGCGTCTTCATCTCCCACGCATTTAAGGAGTGAAGTTGAAAACTCTCGCTTATACAAGCTTCCCTATAGAAATGGAGAATCTAACTGACCTGGTTCTCAGCTTTGTAGCCTTCTTGGGGTCTTCTGGCAGGGCTCCCTGTTGGAGATACTCCAAGATGGGGTCCATCCAGCTTGGTGGATTCTGTATGGGGAGCACTTCTTCATCTTCAACACTAACGGATGGTTCCGCCAGATGTTCCATGGGGATCAACCTGTCCAGATTTTTTTGTGAAGCTATTGTCAACCTTGTCAAAACGTCTGCTCTCGAATTTTCAGTTCTAGGGACATATCTGATCTTTACTTGCATAAATTTTTTGATTAATTCTTGCACCTTTCTAAGATAAAGGGCCATCTTCTCACCCTTAGCCTTGTAAGCACCCTCTATCTGTTTCACCATGAGTTGTGAGTCACTGCAGATCTCCAGTTGCTCGGCTTCCATTGAATGAGCTAAGTTAAGCCCTACTATGACTGCCTCATACTCGGCTTCGTTGTTTGAATCTTTGAATCCAAATCTTAGTGTGTATTCACCATCTATCTCATCGAGGGATGTTAAAATCAAACCAGCTCCACTGCCCTGAGCATTGGCAACTCCATCTACCGAAAGTTTTCACGTGGGGAGGTCAAGTACTAACTACGCTGTCTCTGTAGGTATTCCAATTGTGAATTCTGCAATGAAATCTGTCAATATCTGCCCCTTAATGACTGTCCTTGGCTTGTACCTGATGTCAAACTCACTAAGTTCAATGACCTATTTAACCAGTCTCCCCGACGATTCTGGTTTGTGCAACACCTGCTTCATAGGTTGATCTGTTAGAACTTCGATAGTGTGAGCCTGGAAGTAAGGTCTAAGTCTCATGGCGGTTGTCACTAAGGCTAAAACAAGTTTTTCTATTTTAGGATATCTTTCTTCTACCCCCCTCAGAGCTCTGCTGCAGTAATAAACTGGTCGCTGAGCTCTATCCTTCTCCCTTACTAGCGCTGCGCTGGTTGAGAACTCTGAGACAGCCAAGTAAAGGGTAAGTATTTCTCCTTCTAATGGGCTTACCAAGATAGGTGGGGAGCTCAAGTATTCTTTCAATGCTTTGAAAGCTTCTTCACACCGAGCATCCCATTGAAAGGCTTTCTTTAAGACTTGAAAGAAGGGTCGCTTGATCTGAAAATGAAACGACTTAGGGCAGCTATTCTCCCGATTAAATGCTGTATTTTCCTCGTGTTGGAGGGAGGCTGCATATCCAACACTGCTTTTACCTTTTCTGGGTTAGCCTCTATCCCTCCGCTATTAACTATGAAGCCCAGAAATTTTCCTACTGACACCCCAAAGGTGCACTTAGCTGAGTTGAGCTTCATCTTGTATTCTCTTAGGACTTGAAACAACTCTACTAAGTGTCCAATGTGGAGCTCTGCCTTTAGTGATTTGACCAGCATGTCATCAATGTAGACCTCCATGGAGGTTCCAATCTGTTTTTGAAACATCTTATTCACCAGGCTCTGGTAAGTGGCTCCTGTATTTTTTAACCCGAAAGGCATCACTTGATAGCAGTATGTTCCTTGCTCAGTTATGAATAAGGTCTTCTCTTGGTCACTGGATCTATCCTGATCTGATTGTACCCAGAGAAGGCATCCATGAAGCTGAGGAGCTCATGTCCCACAGTGGCATCTACAATCAAATCTATCCGGGGTAAAGGAAAACTATCTTTCGGGCAAGCACGGTTGAGGTCTATAAAGTCAATGCAAAGACGTCATTTGCTATTTATCTTATTGACTAGGACTACATTGGCTAGCTAGACGGGGTAATCCACTTCTCTAATGGCTTTCGCGTGAAGAAGCTTGCTGACCTCTTCGTTGATGGCTTTTTGATGCTCCAGGGCGAAGCTCTTCCTCTTCTGCTTAACGGACTTACAAGCTGGATTCACGTTGAGCTTGTGAATGATGACAAAAGGATCAATCCCTTTCATGTCCTCTTGCTTCCATGCAAAAACTTCCTTGTTCCTTTTCAAGAATTGGATTAGGAGATCCTTGATCTCCTTGCTCAGCTTGGATCCAACGTAAACAAGATGCTCTGGCTCCTCATCCATTTGAACAGGTTCCAGCTCTTCTGATGGTGTTGGCCTGGTCTTGAGTTCATCCTTCATGTCAAGCTCATCCAATTGGATGCTCTCAACCTCCTTATTTCTCATGGATGTCATGTAGCATTCTCGTGCTACGCGCTGGTCTCCTCGGACCACTCCAACTCTGTGTTTTTGTTAAAAACTTCACTACAAGGTGATAGGTAGAGGGAATAACGCTTATAGAATTGAGCGAGGGTCTTCCAATGAGTATATTGTATGCTGAAGGTACATCAACCACTAGAAATTTCACAGTTGTTGTAGTCTGACAGGGTGGGTCACCTAAGGTCAAGATGAGTTGGATTGACCCTAGGGGTAGCACCCTTTCTCTTAAGAATCCCAATCGATGGGCACTTACTGGTTCAAGCTTTTCCCTTCCTATATCCATTTTATCGAAAGCAGAAGCAAAAAATGATGTATGTCGAGCTGCCATTGTCAATCAAAACACGATGGACAGTCCTGTTGGCCACCACAACTCTTACCACCAAAAGGTCATCATGGGGATGTTGGTAGCCCTCCAGATCTGAATCTGAGAAAGTGATAGTCGTGTCTAAGCGTGAAGACTTAGATACAGTATATACTTCGGGAGCTTCTGTGGCTCTGATTTTTTGCAAGTGGGCCTTTCTGGCAGAGCTGGACCCTCCTCCTCCGGCAAATTCTCCAGATATCACTCTAATCTCCCCCATAGGTTGTTGGTGTGGCTTTGGTGCTTGACACTGAGGGGGTGGAGGTGGGAGAGCTCAGTTTTGATTATCATTGGCCATATAGCGCCGCAGTTGCCCTCGCTGGATTAAAAGTTCTATTTCCTTCTTCAATAGGATATAGTCATCGGTGTGATGACCATGGTCTCAGTGGAAGTCACAATACTTCGTAGGATCCCTTTTTACCGGGTCTACTTTCATCTGGGGTGGCCACCTTAAGAACTTCTTATTTTGCACCTCATACAGTATTTGAGACACCGTAGCAATCAGAGGAGTGAGCCGCCGGGGTGCATACCTCAGTTGTAGCTCTGGTTGTGGAGGGCCAAGGCTATCCCTGACATTTTCTTTTCTCTTTAGGGAACACTCTCTGTCTCTTCTTGGAGATCTGTCTCGTTCTCTTTCCTTTCTGGGACTTCGTTCTCTCTTTTTTTTCTCCCTTCTCTTTCTCCTTTCTCGACGAAGAGCTCCTGACCATGGAGAGGAGCGCTTCCTCACCATATTATGTACTTTTCTGCTTTGGCAAACCCCTCCGTCATACTAGCCTGGAGGTTCTTTGAGATGGAAAATATCAGATCTTTTGATTAAACTCCCAGACCTGCTATGAAGGCTGTAATAGCAAATTTTTTGTCTAGGACATCCACCTTCAAGGATTCTGAGTTGAACCGTTAGACATAAGACCGTAGGTTCTCGTTAGGTCCCTGTTTCAGATTTGACAAATGGTAGCTCGATTTCCTATAGGTCCAAGCTCCAATGAAGTGGGACAAAAACGAGATTGACAGCTTTTTAAAAGAGGAGATCGAGGCTGGGGGAGTCTGTTAAACCATGCTAAGGCTGAGCCCTTCAGAGTGATAGCGAAGGCCCTGTATCTCACTAGATCTTGATATCCATGCAACTCCATTTGGTTTTTGTAGGTGTTGAGGTGGTCCATGGGATTCCTTGTCCCATCGAAAGCATCCACCTGCGGTATTCTGAATTTATGTGGGAGAGGGAAGTGCAGCACCCCAGCAGTGAATGGGGATTCGGTTTGTTGCACCAACGCAACCATAGTGACTAGGGCCCTTCCTCTTCACTGCCTCCTTCATCTGGCTGAGCTCTTGTTGGATGTCTTTGAAACGTTGATCCCAGTGATGTTCTCTTCTCTCCTATTGATAAGGGAAGAAGTCGCTCCTCTCCCTTTCCTTACATTGACTTTGCACTTCTTCGTTGTGACCATTCCTTGGGGGTAGGCAAGGTTTTTGACCCAAGGTCTGGCTATTCTCTCCCATCTCATTAATTTCTCCGAGAGGGTCGAGATGCGGTTGCTCCCTTGGTGGTAGATTATTTAGGCCTCCTTGGGCCGGTCGCGTCTCCTGTGGGCGTTGTAGGAGCTTTAAGAGCTCTTTGTTCTATTTTATCAGATGTTCATTGACAAGACGAATGCTCAGCATCAAACCGCGTGGTGTAAAAGTGTTTTGATCGGTTATGCTTCTGCGGACAAGTTCCTCAATGAGTCCGAACCTTGCTGCTTCCGCGACCTCTGAGCGACCACAAGGAGCGGTTCGGCTACGCTCCTACCGTACCACAACCTTGTGGTGGCATTAGCTAGGGGAGTGGGTCCCAAAGGGATAGATTCCCTGAGAATTCCTGGCGCATTCTCAATTTGGCCATAGTTGACGGTGAAGGGTAACGAGGTTTGAGTAGTGTCGACGAATAAATTGTTGCGTTGAAGTTCCATAGAGTTGCGGAAAAAAATAGGATCTTCTATTTGCGCTAAAATCCACCACATAAAGGTTCACCACATCTACTGCCAAGGTGACGATGTTGCCATCGTGATTGATGAGACGAACCAGAACGAACCGCTCCCGAACCGGCACTGAATTTGCGGGTCTCAGCACTGGTACACCATTTATTAGTTCGGTTCCCCGTGTCACTTTTTCCCGCAGTTCCCCTATGAAGTCTCTGTATGTGGCCCAGGTGGCACGCCACAAATTGAAGGAGACGGAGGGATATTCCGGTGCACCGCCGCCTTGGATTCCAAGGCCGCAAATTGCGAGAAGAACAATGTATATTTTTGCTACTAGAACTCTCATCTTGCTAGTTGTTAGTTGCTAGCTAGGGGAAGGGTGGTTATGAGTTGGCTTAGCGGGGATCATGCACATTTGGTTGGTTTTATAATACGAGTTTAGGTTGCTACAACTGAGAAATGTAAATGTTGGAGTACACGGGATACTCTATTTTTTTGCTTTGTTCCTCCATGATTTACACACGCAAAATTTAAAGTTAGATGCGTCCCAACTCGGCGCCGACAACCAAAAAGAACTATTTCAAGGAAGCGCTTATTGTTTGGTCTATTTATAGACGCACCCATGATAAAAATCTGTTTTTTTTTTTCATAGTAAGACTTGAATCAATATGAATTATGTAGTAGGTATTTTTGTTGTTGAATATACATTAACTTTGTAAAGGAAGCAAGATCTTTGCCGGTTATGATAACATTGATGTGGTGTTGATCTAAGCTCTATGATAACTAAATCAAATTTTATGAGTTTAATACGAAAGAAAGTGCCTAACTCTTGGATGCTTGTATATCTCATGTGTGTTTGATCGAAACATTTTTTATTGAACACAAAAATTGTAGTTGTTAGTGGAAACACAATTTCTTTCTTTCTAGTAGTTTCCCATTAAATTCATCTAAGTAAAGTCCCAAGAAGACAATCTCACAACATATGAGCACATATTATATATATTCTCTTTTAATGGAAGTATCTTCTGATCTTGAGTAAAATAAATGACAAAAACACATTTTTTATTAAATGTTATTTGTAATAAAGACTATTTCTCAACTAGAATAGATTATTATATTGGAGTTGGATACTGACGATGATGGATTTAACTCTAGACCCTTTTTTTTGAGTCCAAAACCTCCAATGGGCTCATCAAAAACAATCCAAGCAACCCATCTGGATGTCGTTAACCGTGTCTAACCTAAGCCACAATTCAACCCCATGAAAGCCTAGGATCGTCCAGCTCGGGACATATGCCAGTCCAACCCCAGCATGCTCGGTGATAAGCATCTGCTCGAGAGTTTGGAGCTCAGCACAAAATAGATCTCAAGCAACCCAATCGCGCCACGTGGACAATAGACAGGGGATAAGGGGACAATATTTAGATGAGACAGGCTGTGGGTTCTAAATTTCTAGGTGTGATATCTAACAAATGAATATTCACTAATAGTGGAGATACCTCATGCATTCCGTTCTAGGCGTAGTGGGCACAAAAAACATCAGGGTGCCAAGTTTAACTACATGACAAATGAGGAGGGGACCACAAAATCACTCAAAAAAGAAACTATTGCAAAACCCTAATAATAAGATGTATAAATAGTGAATGACGCCACTTTGTAAGACATAGAAAAAAGAATAGAAAAGAGAGAGAATATCAAAGGCCACCTAAAAAATATATTGTAAAAGGCTCCCAGCCAAACCTTCTGTAACCACTACCTTCTTTCTCAAGCAATATAGTCATCAAGGAGTAAGAGAGATGTTGATGCTAATTGTAGCTTTTTACGGGCTGAGTGAGGCAGTGATATTAATGTTCAAAACTCTGTTTTGGTTCCTTCCTCATCGTGGAGAACGGAAGGAATCCTAACCTTTGTTTAAAGGAAGAAAGGAATGAATCCACTTTCACTTTAGTCAGAAAAAGCATTTGTGATTACTGAACGCTTCCTCATCATACTTTTCCGGCACAATACACATTGAAATTTCTACCAAATTTTTCATACAACTTAATAGCGGATTTCACTTAACCATGTCATAAAAGCTAACAGGTTTGGTACTAAGCAAGATGAACTCATTAAATTCGCCAGTAAATAAGTGACACGAGTTTGACCTAATACATCTTTGATACATGATACGAAGTAGAATGTACATGATAATAATAGTTCGAAGATAGGTTAAACAAATTTTAATATCACACGACTTATAACCATTGAAAATAAGATACAACATGATTCATTGACAATCTTAATTCTAAAATGAATAATAAAAAAAAGAAAAAAAAGTTGTACTCTTATTGTCCACCATCAAATACTCTTATTGCAAAATTTCACCAGAGATGCTCATTGTCCCCTTCTCCTTCCTTCTCTTCCTTGTGTCTCTCTCCATTTAACTCTTGACTGAAATGCATCAAAACAAATGCCTAAAGCTCTCATTTGCACTCTAGAAAACAGAAAAAGAGAAAAGAAAATGTGTGTGGGGTGGGGTGAAATATACTCTTAAACTGTTTAAATTTTGTCCGGCTTCCTAATTCAAATCAAATTTTAATCAACTCACACTAAATTTTAATTAGCTCGAATTTTGATACCTAAAAAAATATAAATTTTAATCGACTCAAATTTTAATATGTAAAAAATAAATTTTAATTAACTTGACACGACTTTTAATAAGTGAAAAAATACAAATTTAAACGATTCTAATCGAATTTTAGTTGGCACTAGCAGCTCAGATTAAGTTCAAATCGACTCTAATTTTAATAAGTAAAAAAAAATTAATCAGCTTGAATTTTAATTGGCACAAGTTAAATTAATTAAATAATCAAATAACTAATGTCAAGTTAAATTAATTAAATAATCAAATAACTAATGTCAAGTTAAGTTAAATTAAAACCACAGTTTAATTAGCTTAAAATTCTGCAAGCAGTCACAGTTTACTTCGAACTACGTTTCATTTATTCTCTTTTGGATACATAGGCAATCTAGTTAAATTAGGTGCAATGGCAAGTCCAAATTAACTTCAAATAAATTTTAAATTCTTATTCTGAACTACATTCGACTTGATTCTCTTTCGGATACGTTAGCAGTCTAGTTAAACTAGATACAGTCGTAAGTCCAAATTAATTTTAAATAAATTTCAAATTCTTACCCCGAACTACGAATTGGCTTGATCCCAATAACGGGTACGTAGAGCAACCTAGACAATTAACCTAGATCTAGTCATTATCACAAATAAAATGCCTCCAAAAACATCACATCACTTATTTCTATTACATGTCTAATTATTTTAGTATTTGATTAATTTATAGTTTAATATAATTTTTATTTCAAATATTATCTATGTACGATAGTATACATATGTTGATAAAATTTTATCGAATTGCGGATTTTAAAAAATTATTATTTAATATAGTAGAATAGGTTTTTTTGGACGCTCGAATTTTATATTTTATCGTACGTTCAAGCACGGATTATGACTAATAAATAGTAATACTAAACAGTAACATGCTCAATAAAAAAATATGTTCAACAAAAAATTTAATTAAAAGTTTATTCATTACAATAGAGTGACACCATATGTGAATACTTAAAACTATTGTCTTGCCCACAACAAAATAATTTTAATACTAGCACAATTTTTCAAGTTAGGAGTTGTTAAAACTAATACAATTCCTAATTTAGGAGTTGTTAGTTTTTCCAAACAAGTTTTGATTAAATATAACTATTGAGGGTATGTTAGACACTTGAGATTAAAATTGTTGGGCAAAAATTTGAATATTTTGTCGAACATGACTTCACTAATATAACGAGAAAGTATACAAGTTTTATTAAATGTAGGTTGGATCCATTCCATATAGCATATATCCATTAATTATAATCTCTTATTTCAAGAGAACACCTTTTAATTCCAACGAGAAATTATCATGCATTGCCATTTACATTGGAACTAGATTTTTCATGCTTTAACTTCCAAAATAGAGAATTGGGTGGGATAAAAAGTCCATTGGAAATGCTCGTAGGAACTAAATTGTCTTGAGCTGCCTTTAAATTGTAATATTTGCCGCAGGGAAAAGAGAGACATGGTTTATACATGTTTGACGTGCCAATTCCACATCCATAAGAGTTGTGCTTTATTTCCTCAAATCATCAACTCCAGTGATCACAATCATCCTCTAACCCTCATCAACCAGTACTTCAAGTTCACCAACTTCAGACACAATTGCGACAGGTGTCTTGAGTACCAAACTAGAGATACCTGGTGTTACTATTGTTCTCCATGCAGATATTTCATACGGATATTCCATGCAAATATCATGGGATGGCAGTGTCTTACAATAGTCTATGTAAACTCCAGTAAATTCTATTGACTGTTGGCTTTGGGAGATGTTTGAAAAATTGAATTCCCATCAATTTCTCATTGTTCTTGGTACATTATTGGTTTGTATGGACTCACAAAAATAATGCCCTTCTCCATAACGTAAAAAAGGACCCTTTATCTGTGGGTATGGAAGCAAGTGAGTACCTGAATGCTTTTTTACAGTACTCACATCTTGAGCATCGTTCCACATTCGCTATACGATTGGAGAAGTGGTCTCTTCCTACAACTGTCTCTTTGAATGCAAACTTTGATAGGGCGTTGTTTGAATCAGACGGGACTATTGGCGCGCGCGTTGTAGTTAGGGATGGCAGAGGTATGTTTATTGCTGGCCTATCCAAAAAATTTGTTTCGGTTTGTGAAGCGTAATCAGCTGAGTTACTTGTTGCTCGAGAGGCTGTTCTTTTTGGCATACACAACAACTATGTTGAGGTTGTTCTGGAATGTGACTCAAGGAATGTGATGGAGCTGATCAATACAACTGAAGTTGATTTTGATCCTATGGGTTCAGTCTTAGCAAATATATATACGGAGTTTCATTTGCAATCGGGTTTTTAGTGTATCAACGGTTCATAGAAGGGCCAATATAGCCACACATCAACTAGCTAGAAATGCACTTCATATTACTAGGTTTGATGTATAGGAGGACAAGACACCTGAATTTATCATGCCCTTTCTCCTTTTGGATATTCCTATCTATTCGAAATTCTACCGTCTCTTTCAAAAAAAAAAAGTTCACAATAAATAGTAGGAGAACAAAAAATGTCATCATCATGGGTACCTTTAACATATTAAAATAAAAATTTACTGTTTGTAAGTGGGATTTATGTGGAGACTCAATGAATATCCTGAAAAGGCTAATTTCAAAGGCAATAAAATAGAAGTTAAATAACATAGTCTTTCCACCAACGGTTTGAAATATACGGAATTCACCAACTCATCAC